TTAACGATAGGTGTCATTTTACGTTTCTGAGCCTTAAATGTTATTTCACCACATATATAGCAAAAGCTATCGACAGAATTCACACACTTTCGAGGCATTTCAGATCAGCACTTAAATTAATTTAAAAATCAACTTCACACGATAATTTCAATAGCAACCACGTGCGTACAATTGACAAACTCACATAGGTTATGTTTACTACTTAAGAACAGCTGATGAGAGGGGTGTTATGTAAACAAACATGTGTACCAACTGTTGGTGATGAAATATTTCATTTGTTGAAAACTCAATATACATATATATAATATAATGATACTATATCTTGAAAACAAGAGCTAATATATAATTTTTATGGTCACTTTCGGTTTTAACACGTGGAAATACATTAAAATTATCTAATTTCAACCCCGAAACAAAAACTTTGTTGTGTTGTGATAGTTGATCATATTGATAATATTGAATACCAGACCTCAGTTAAAAAAAGCAGATTGAGGTACCCACTAGAATAGAAGAGTACACATACATAATCTTGCAGGAATAGATATTTTACTTTTTGAATTGTGGTATTTATGATTTTTTTGTCAACTGTTATCAACAATGTTTATACAAGATCAAACCTATATTATTCAGTTTTTGTGATGATTACATAATAATGAACACTGACAATTTATTATACAGCTCCTACTGGGAGAACTACCAACTAAATCTGGAAAAATATTTCTCGGAGGAAAAGTATCGTATTCTTCCCAAGAACCTTGGCTCTTTTCATCGACAGTCCGGAACAATATTCTTTTTGGACAACCATATGTAAGAGATTGGTACAAAAAAGTAGTCAGAGTATGCTGTCTTGAAAAAGATTTCGATCAGTTTCCAGTTGGAGACAAATCAGTTGTAGGAGAGAGAGGCGTGTCTTTGAGTGGCGGACAGAGAGCAAGAATCAATCTCGCCAGAGCCATCTACAGGAGAGCCGACGTGTACTTAATGGACGATCCGCTGTCAGCTGTCGATACTCATGTTGGAAGATCTCTTTTTGACGAATGCATTTGCGAACACTTGGAAGGAAAAACTAGGATCTTAGTGACGCACCAGTTGCAGTATTTGAAGAAAGCTGACTTGATCATCGTTATCAATGATGTGAGAATTTGTTAATATACGTTAATAGAATAATAATTTGATATGTAGAAATTTGAATATCTGGCTGTTCAGTATTTCCCTGTCATAGTTTAGTATTGCGAGCAATTTTATCCAATGTTACTATTGTTTTTCATTCAATTGCACACCCAATATATTCAAAATTATATCCAAGCGCATGTCCATACAAGTGGTAGCACGCTATCACGCAGTTTTCACATACACCATTTTCAAGTTTACATTTTCATGTGTTTGTTTATGATTTTCCTAACACTATCGCTCATCGCTAGTGCTGACCACTCACGTCATACAGTCCACAACTGTTCGATTTTAGAGAATCCATACATCAGGTTAGGCTGATTGCACACACACCGATTGGGACGGCCGATTTAAATTCCAATGGTGAACCACATGTGGAAACGGGATTCGGCACACATGCCTACCGGTGATCGGCGTCGATCACCGGTCACAATTAGGATTGAACACAATGATCGCGAATTCAATGCTGCTTCAATTTGAGCTTACAAGGTATAGAATTCTCCTAATGTCATCATCTGCTCTCCAATAACACGGTGAATGTGGGTTTGAACTGATTTTACTCCGGCTTCTGCCATAACTGTGGAAAGTCTGGAGGAATTGAAGAAATATTTCTATACTGATCTATCTTTCAATCTATCTACCTGTGTGTAGCTGGGGGTTGAATATAATCAATTACCTATGAAACTATTGAACCGACTGAAACAATTCGCCTATTAGAAAGCCATATGATCGAAAAGTAACATAGGCTACTTTCCTTCCTTATACAGTGTCACCGATAAAGTCCGCATCAAATGGGAAACTTTTTTATTTATCGTTTTATGTGAAATTTGATTTTGGCAGTAGATTTTGCTT